TTGTAGATGCGGTGGCGTCGGTCTAGTTAGACAGAATTCTTATAAATGACACGTGTACTGCACACCTGCGGCATTGCACCTGCGTTGCCGCCCGTCCTGCTTGTATAAAACGGACTGAGCGGCCGCCGTTAAGACAGTCTTGGCTCTGACGTGGAAGGGTGCGCTTGTCCTATTCCGTTAGTGGTTTATCCTCGACTCCTTGGGTAATTAATTCGTGTAAACGAATTAATTATTATCCCTAACTACAAAATCAGTCTCTATAATATACCCTCTATACTTCCTACATATACAAAATAAGAATTTAAGACTTATTACCGGCTCTTTGAGAATAACTTCTATTGTTTCTTTACAGGCTGAATGTCTTACTCCTCCTATCTAACTTAGGTTTAAATATCTGAAAGAGCAATGGCAGAAAAATAGTTGACAAAAATTATCGCGTCTAGAAATAAGTTATATATAAAATGAGTTTTATTATTTTTCTATAATTTTTCAAATAAAAATGTATTTTAATCAAGGCCACAGAAAAAAACAAAAATTTTTGGGAATATCAAATGACTTAAATCATTTTACTCCCCGCCTAAGGGTATTAGTGTTCTGTGTTTTACTCTATTCAACTGTTGCCATTTAGTATATTCATACTATTTTCGTATACACTTTGTAAGACTACCAACACAACACACAAAATATTTTATATTAAGTTATTAATAGTAATAACTGTACAATGTAACAATTCCATTTAATGTTATGCCAACACTAGCTAAATCAAAATGTCACTGTTTTTTTTACTGGCTTTACGGCTCTGAGTTCTAGCCCTTCTGAGAATGTCACTATAATACTGTTACGCGCCACATTAATGTCTTGTACATGGCAACACTAGTTACAATAGCGCCCTCTAGTGTCGAGTAAAAGAAAGTGTTGCGCGCCACTATTAATGTCTTGTACATGGCAACACTAGTTACACTAGCGCCCTCTAGTGTCGAGTAGCAGAACTAGGAGAGTCGAGATCCTTCCAGAAATTTCGGGACCGATATGTACTCGAACATTCTAGATGTCGCTACAGTGGAAGGTTCTGGAAACTGTCTGAGGCCCTATATAAGGCCGGTATGGACCACGACCAAGGCAGTATTGAATTGGCGATACAAGAGAATACTTCAAAGCGAAATAACGGCGAACTGTGTTTAATTATTAGTGTGATTTTAAGTTATAATTAGTGTTGTGTAATTAAATAGTCAATTTTGGTAATTCACTCGGTAGTTTTTAATTATCTCGAACCCCAAGCTCGTAACAATTGGTGTCAGAAGTGGGATCAAATCATGCCGATTTTACCAAAGGACGACATTGAGGGTATCCGTACCCGAAGTCAACGCCAGCTGGAGACGGACCAGAGACGATATAGTAATGCATCGCCGCAAACGTCGGAGGGCCAGCTGCCGACCGAGAAGGCCGGGCCGTCAGCAGCTACTGCATCTGTAGCACCTGACTTAGGTGCTCTGATGATGATGCTGCAGGAGCAAGCCCGCCGACAGGAGGAACAGGCCCGTCGGTTGGAAGAGCAGCTGCAGCGTGGACAGGAGGAACAGGGCCGCCGGTTGGAAGAGCAGCTCAAACGTGATAAGGAAGAGCAGATACTTCTCATGAAGGACCTTCACGCTACCTTTGGGAAAGAGATAAGGGAGGTGAAGGATAAGGTTGCACGATATGACAACCGCCTGTCCGAAGCTGAAACTCGAATCGACCAAGTGTACAATCGGGTTGACAACGTGATGGCTGACGTTAAGAAAACGCTGGACAACCTCAAACTTGGGGAAGGAGTTACAGTTCCCGTGGTAGCTACAACACCTTCGCTACGTGGATTCAAAGTGCCGCCGTTCGACGGGAGTTCTTCCTGGTCGGCCTACAAAATCCAGTTCGAGGCTGTCATGAAAGCGAACGGCTGGAATAAAAGTCAGGCCATGACTGCTCTCAGCCTAGGCCTACGCGACCAGGCCTTAACTGTTCTGGAAGCTCTCGGTAAGGAAGTGACTTACGAGCAGCTCCTTGAGGCTTTGGAGGCGAGATATGGCGATGCTCACCTGGAACGCGTCTTTCGTGCGCAGCTCAAAGATCGCGTGTAACGCAGTAACGAAAACCTGCAGCAGTTGGCCCTTGAGGTGGAGAAGCTGGTTCGAAAAGCGTACCAGTCTGTACCTGCGCTCATTGTAGGGAACCTGGTGCAGACATTCATCGACGGCATCCGCGACCTTGAAGTCAGAGCTGCTGTGAGGCTCGGGCACCACGAGACGCTTAAGGACGCCTTGACCCATGCATTGGAGGTGGAAGCCGTGCGGCAGGATCATCGTTCCCACCGCGTCAGGGAGGTTGCAGCAGCTACAGTTCAGGACCGCAATAAGGGCTACAGCCCTAGGTGCTACGGCTGTGGGGAAAGGGGCCATCTTCGATCCAGCTGCACTAAACGAACTGTAGAAAGGGAAGGTGATCGATCTCGAGAGGGTAGTGCGGATAATAGCACCGCCCAGCAGCAGCAGGGAAACTGGCGGGTGCTGGCTGATGTTAAAAGAGCCCCAAGGATTTCGATCTCACAAACCCATGATGGGAACAGCCTAATCATCAAGGGCGAAGTCAACGGAACGCCGTGTAAACTGACCATAGACACTGGAGCCTCTCGCACGGTTGTCAGTTCCCAACTTATAAGTCGGTTTCTTGGGGACTCCGCACACAACCGAGAACGCATTAATTTGGTGACAGCCACCGGTCAGCGCATACCCGTCCGTGGAGAGAAGGAGATGGAGTTGAAGCTAGGCAACATGATCTACCTGCATAATGTCATCGTGACTGATATAATGGACGACTGCATCCTGGGCCTAGACTTTATGAGGAAGAATTGTTGTGAGATCGACGTTAAGCAAAGTGTTTTGAAATGTGGACAAGAGGAACTTTTCGTGGAAGGGGCGTTACCAGGGAATGTGTACAGACTTAAGAAGATTGTTCTTCCGCCGAGATCGGAAACGATTGTGCCGGTTAGACTTCCACGGAATCCTGGGCAAACTCTTCGTTGTGTACTCGTGGAAAGGGTAGACAATGACCTTCCATGGAAAGTGGCTCGAACCTTGGTCAGAACCACCGACATCTCAGGAGTACGTGTGCTGAACCTTTGTGATCAGGAACAGATTATAGAAAAAGGCACATTGGTTGGTACTAGCAAGGAAGTGGATTGGTTGCGTCGGTGCGAATATCTATCGACTGGGACCCCAAGCAAGGATGGAAAGACTAGAGTGACCACACTGTTAGAAGACTGTCGCAGCGTTCTCTCCCCGAATGAAACGGTCAAAGCGAAGAAGTTGTTATTCAAGTACGCCAATGTTTTCTCGTCACACGAAGCTGACATAGGAAAGACTGGCTTAGTTCAACACAAAATAAACACAGGACAAGAATGGCTTATTCGTCAGCGGCCAAGAAGATTGCCTGTAGCACATGAAAAGGAAGTGGAAACCATGATTGAGGGAATGGTGAAGGATGGTGTTATTGAACCTTCATCTAGTCCATGGTGTTCACCTGTGGTGCTGGTAAAGAAGAAGGACTGCAGCATGCGGTTTTGTGTTGACTACCGCCGCCTGAACGACGTTACAAAGAAGGACAGCTATCCCTTGCCAAGAATTGATGACACGCTGGACATGCTTACAGGCGTAAAGTGGTTTAGTACGCTGGATCTGAAAAGTGGCTACTGGCAGGTTGAAATTGACCCTAAGGACAAGGAGAAAACTGCATTCTCCACAGGAAAGGGCCTGTGGCAATTTAAAGTCATGCCGTTTGGATTTTGCAATGCTCCAGCAACGTTTGAAAGGTTGATGGAGCTTGTACTTACCGGGCTAATTGTAGATGCCTGTCTCGTCTATTTGGATGACATCATCATCGTAGGCCGTACGTTTGAGGAACACCTTTAAAACCTGGAACGCGTGCTCATGAAAATCCAGAGTGCCAACCTCAAGTTGAGTCCAAAGAAGTGCTCACTATTCAAACGGCAAGTTAGTTTTTTGGGGTATGTAGTGTCGGAAGAAGGTATCCGCACGGATCCAGAAAAAATTGCTGCTATCAAGGAGTGGCCGGTCTCAAAAGACAAGACACAGGCTAGAGCATTTTTGGGTTTGTGCTCTTATTATCGGCGATTTGTGAAGAACTTTGCAGATATAGCCAAACCTCTGCACAAGCTAACCGAGGAGAAGCGACAATTCTGCTGGGATGAAAGTTGCGATATTGCATTCCAGGAGCTCAAGAACCGTCTGTGCAAAACACCTATTTTGGGGTACCCTGATGCGGGCAAGGAATTCATAGTTGACACAGACGCAAGTGATATAGGACTTGGCGGTGTGTTGTCTCAACGGAATGGTGATCAAGAGATTGTGATAGCGTACTTCAGCAAGTCGTTCTCAAAGCCGGAAAGGAACTATTGTGTCACAAGACGGGATTGCTTGCTGTGGTAAAGTCCTTGCAGCATTTTAGCAAATATCTTCTAGGGTGGAAATTCCACTTACGAACTGACCATGCTGCACTGAAATGGCTATTGCAGTTCAAAAATCCGGAAGGACAAGTTGCGAGATGGATTGAACTACTGCAGGAATACGACTTTGTGATCGAACATCGCAGCGGGAAATGTCATGGCAATGCAGATGCATTGTCAAGAAGACCTTGCCCTGAAGATTGCAAGCATTGTACTAGGCAAGATCAAGGTAGGGTAAGGAAGTGGTATCTGTGAGAATGCTCAGGACAGACCAGCTCAGCAATGAGTGGAAGGACAGCCTACAACATGCAAAGCAGGAAGATTCGGACATTAAGCCGATTCTGGAATGGATGAAGGCCAGTGCTCCTAAGCCCAAGTGGAGCGATGTCTCAGCAATGAGTTCGACCACGAAAAGCTATTGGGCCCAATGGGACAGCTTGCTGATTCAGGATGGAGTGCTGTGCCGTAAATGGGAAAATGGTCGGGAGACAGGTGTCATTTGAAAATGGTTGTCCCTAAGGCTAAAGTGCCGGATATTCTACAGCTGTACCATAGTGGTTGTTCAGGAGGCCACCTGGGAGTTAAACGATATCTCCTGAAGATCCGAGAACGGTTTTACTGGGTCCACTGTCGTGACGATGTCGAGGACTGGTGCCGCAAATGTACAAGTTGTGCGGCTGTAAAGGGACCTCAAATTCGTAGTAGAGGCGCATTGAAATTGTACAATGTTGGTGCACCATGGGAGAGGATAGCCATTGACGTTGCGGGGCCGTTTCCAGAAACTGAAAGTGGTAACAAGTATTTCATGGTTGTGATGGATTACTTCACTAAGTGGCCAGAAGTCTTCGCCATTCCAAATCAAAAAGCTTCAACCGTTGCAGATAAACTAGTTCTGAAGTCTTCTGTCGTTTTGGAGTACCTTTAGAGATTCACAGCGATCAAGGAAGGAATTTTGAGTCTCAAATATTCCAGGAAACTTGCCGAGTTATGGGTACTCAGAAAACACGAACAACTTCTTACCACTCACAATCTGATGGAATGGTAGAAAGATTTAATCAGACATTGGAGTACCTAGCAAAAGTTGTAGAAAAACGGCAACGAGATTGGGACAGGCACATACAACCGTTTTTGTTGTCATATCGAAGCGCTGTTCACGAAAGTACATCAGTGACACCAGCTTTCGTAAACTTTGGGAGAGAATTGCGGCTGCCTGCAGACCTGATCACCGGAATACCACCTGATGCCCCACGCAGTATAACCGATTATGCAAATGACTTGCGGAACAAAATGAATGACATTTATGAGCACGTCAGACAGACGGGCCAGCAAACGTCTGAGAAGATGAAAACACGGTATGACCGCAAAATGAACAACAAGGGGTTTGATGAAGGTTCACTAGTGTGGTTACACAATCCAGTTCGCAGCAAAGGGAGATCTCCTAAGCTTCAAGCTAAATGGGACGGACCGTACCGGATTGTGACAAGGATCAATGACGTAACCTACCGGATACAGAAAGGTGTCAGAGGTACTCCTAAGATTGTCCATGTGGATCGACTGGCGCGTTATTATGGGGCCAATAATGCTCGGGACGAGCATGTCTTAGGAGGGGGCAGTGTTACGCGCCACTATTAATGTCTTGTACATGACAACACTAGTTACACTAGCGCCCTCTAGGGTCGAGTAAAAGAAAGTGTTGCGCGCCACTATTAATGTCTCGTACATGGCAACACTAGTTACACTAGCGCCCTCTAGTGTCGAGTAGCAGAACTAGGAGAGTCGAGATCCTTCCAGAAATTTCGGGACCGATATGTACTCGAACATCTAGATGTCGCTACAGTGGAAGGTTCTGGAAACTGTCTGAGGCCCTATATAAGGCCGGTATGGACCACGACCAAGGCAGTATTGAATTGGCGATACAAGAGAATACTTCGAAGCGAAATAACGGCGAACTGTGTTTAATTATTAGTGTGATTTTAAGTTATAATTAGTGTTGTGTAATTAAATAGTCAATTTTGGTAATTCACTCGGCAGTTTTTAATTATCTCGAACCCCAAGCTCGTAACAATACAAAGGCACTGGAGCCATGCCAGAAATATACATTTATAGTATGCAAATATATAATAGAGATACAATAATCTAAAAACTCTCAATTATGTATTATGTATTAAGCTAACATCAAGCAACCACAGGAAGCATGACTTTTTCCAAGACCTATGTGGTCATAACCTAAAAAGGTTCAAATCTAAATATCTTTTTTTTGACGCCTTCTCAGGACGAAATTCTTTGACAGAGTTATTAAGACACTGACGCTTAAGATTGTAAGATATTTTTGATATATAGACGCTACCATTTCTTTTCAACTAATTTTATGTATGAAAGTCTGCCACTGTTCTTTAGGTTTTTATTAAATAGTAATTCTTTGTCTCATCATCCCCTTTTTCAAAAAGGTATTATTTTACTATAATAGTATGTCTCCTATATCTAACTCAGCCCCATATATACTCCATGACTTTCATGAAGTGATACGATATGATGAACAATATAATATTCACAAAAGCACACATACTTGGCCTTGTCATAAGGAGAATTATGAAAGTAAATTCAGTGATATACACATAAATATTGATGAAAAATTGAAAAGAAAAGAAGAGGTTTATGAACTTATATCTACATATGATGAATATCGACAAATTTACACAGATGGTTCAAAAGTTGAAAATAAAGTAGGCTGTGCATTTTACATACCTCATCTGAAAACTGGACGTGGCCTTTCTATTCCTGCATCAGCAAGCATATACACTGCAGAATGTTATAATGTCTTAATCGCTATTAAATATATAGAAGAACATATGTATCTAATAAATTGTTACTGATCTCTGATAGCATGAGAGTCTTGAAGGTACTGAAGGCAAGAACTTTAGATGCTAAAACGTCTTTCATCATGTATTAAATCGAAAGTTTGTGGTGGAAATTGAAAGAAAATAATTTGAAAGTAAAATTTTTATGGACTCCGTCACATATTGGTGTTCAAGGAAATGAAAGCGCAGACCATTTAGCTAAAAGTATAGCTAAATGGTCTGGAAGAATGGAAAATGCAATGAAATGCTGTTTTAGAAGCAGGAAAAGGTCGTTGGTATGCATCAATTAATTCAGAATTGAGTATTTCTTGGTTTTCTCGCAACGAGAGATATCATAACAGAAAATTTTATACAATAATGTGCAGACTTAGATTTGGCCACTATCGACTGAACGCTCATCTTTTCAGGATGAGAATAGTAGCATCTGCAACATGCTACTTCTGAGATACAGAAGCAAATCAGACTGCAGAACATATAATATTTAACTGCCCAGCGTACGCCATAGAAAGATTGCTACTCATTGAAAAACATGTACAAGTTTAGGAAAACTCAAAAAGCGTCCCGCGTGCCCTGCAAGATGTTCTTAGGAATACTAAGACATATTTAGCACTTTGCAATTTTATTCATAATACTGTAAAAGAAATATGAAATATGGTATCCCTGTTTTTAAAAATATTGGATTGACAAATTTACATGGATTGAAACTTACAAAGATTATAATATAAAGATGGCTTGGCTTTAGCCTTAACGGTTTTTGAAAATATGAAGAATTAAAGAAAATAAGACTTGGCTTCGGCCTTTATGGATTTTGAAGAGATGGAAAGAAGAAAAATAAGACTTGGTTCCGGCCTTTACACTTTAAAATTCTATATATTTAAAATAAAAAAGACAAGGCTGTATGGCTTATTTCCTTTACCTGCTCTCTCGAGCGAATAATAAAAACAACAACAACATGTCAATATGTCAAACATTGCGTTGGACGATAACAGGAAATAATCCTAATATATTTTGAGACTATATTGATTGCAAAAAATTAAAAACTATACCTAATTAGATTAGCTAACCTAAAAAAATTGTGTCTTTAACTTTAATTATTATTACATTGTTTATAGCTTACAAAATGTTATGATGGCCACCTACGAAAATTGGTCAGGTCGACGGAAAGGTATTATTTTTTTTAGAGAGCTACCTTATTTTTGGGTTCTCTCATTTAATAAAAATGTATAAATAATTCTTGTAATTACAATTTTTAAGTATTATGGTTATGTTTTTAAATTGAATCATATCTGGAACTATTACATTTCAGGTAAACATGGTGGAGATTTATATAGGTTAGACACTAAAAATAAATCACCAGAAGAAAATATCAAAGAAATTATACAAGGCTTATACTTAAAGAAATCATTCCATAATGATACTTCACCTACTAATAAGAATTTACCTACAGAATTGAGGCCAGGGTTTCGGAATGTGCAAAAAAACAGTTCTGATTCCTATAGACTTTCTTGTTTAAATGCTTTAGTGATTCTCTTATCTAAGGAAGATAGAAATAATTTAGGATTTACTAGTGATGAACTTATGACTTGGTAAGCATTTCATGTTTTATTTTTATTTGCATTTTAAAAAGTTATATCTGTGTAATATATAATATAGAAAAATTGTAATTCATTTGAAAAGAAATTCAAGTTGATGTTGAATGTCTTTTTTATATGCAACATAACATACTAATATTCACCATTATACTAAAAAATATAGGACTGTCACTATTAATATGATTAAAGTGAAATAAAATTGTGTCTTGACTATGAGTAAAACATCTGATGGACAATTAAACTGTACAATTTTAATATTTGATGTCTTATATACTCTTTTTATCTTATGTAAATGCTTTTTAATTGTGATTAAAAAGGTGTTTTTTTTTTAAATCACAATTAATAGTTTTCTAATAAAAAGAAACATATTTAGTTTTTCTTATTTAAAAGAAATAAAATTGCTAGCTATGAGGGCACAGATTAGTTATGTCCCTTAGCATAAGATCTCATTTTTAGGCTGAAATGTACTAATAATTGGATTTGTGAAATAAGACAAATTTTTGTAATGTAGTGCTTGACAAGTGTTTAAATGTATTTCGTAAGGTGTGAATAAAACATGCACATATCATACTTTTGGCATACTTGGTTATACTTGTATAAAATATTATATTGTAAGTTATGCTTTTAAAAAAAATGGTTCCTCTGGGTTTCTTGCTGGTTCTTCCCAGGACATTTTTTTTTCTGAACTAGTAGTAACTCTCAAACGATTAGTATTCTTGTAATCTATATTTGATTCTATTCTATTCTACCTAAACTAAAGTTAACCCTTTATAGAAAAATCCTAACCATTATGAAGTCCCACAGTATGCATTATCTGAAACCATTAATAATGAGGCTATACTTACCAGAAAATCACGTTTGGCATGGTTTATTACACACCTTCATTATAAACCCTTGAGAAGTGTGGAGCCTATATAATTACTTATTGATAAGATTGGATGAGTCATTAAGCGCAGACATTATTATGTAAGGTAATAATGACTGTATGGTAATAGGACCTACCCCTCTATTCCTAGCCAACAAGTAATGTCAGAACCCAGCTGTACAAAGTGATTGTAACTGGATGAATGTGTGACATGAGCCTTTTGTAAACACCTACTAAGATGGCTCAATATCTGTTACCTTATTACTATTATGGTGAATGATAAAGGCATGTCATTTTTGGATGTTTGGTGCTTTCTAGCTCTTTCCTTTTCGAGCTCTGAGTATCTCCACAGTCATAACCCAATAGCCAGAATTCTACAGCAGAAGCTTGCTCTGAAGTATGATATAGTAAATCAATAATCATACTGGGACTGTGCCATCATTACAGCCTGATTTATTATTGTGAATAACTCAGACTTTATAGTGGTAGACCGGTCACAGTCAGGGGTATTTATTATGAATTCCATATTAATACAAATCTCACGAAAGTCAAAATCGATACATAGGGTGGTCTACTGACTAAAATTATTACTGTAGTAAAAGTCTAGCAA